AATGCTGCGCGTGCCCTTTTCCCGCGCAGGGCGGGGGGGGCGGGGCCGCGGGCCGAGTGCGCGGCGGGGCCGCGTCGCGCGCCAATAAAGCGTGGAAGACACCGGCGGCGCCTCCGCGTGCTCAGGGAGGGGCGGCGGGACCGGCCAATGGGCGGGGGGCGGGGCGGGGCCACGTAGGACTCGGCCAATGAGCGCTGGGGGGGGGGCGGTGGCGGGGTTGGTGCGGCCAAGATGGAGTCGGTGGCTCTGGTGGCCCCGGTGACAGCGCTGGAGTTCGCGGGGGACGTGCTGCTGGCGGGTGAGCGCTGGGACCGTACCGGGGCGGGCGGCGGGGCCAGCGGCAGCGGCTGACGCGGTGTCCCGCAGGTACAGGCCCGGAGGTGGTGGCGTTTCGGCTGAGCGGCGGCGGGCCGGCGACGGCGGCGGGCCGGCGGAGCGTGCTGCGTGAGGCCAGCGTGCAGGGGCTGCGGGCCGAGCCGGCGCCCGGGCCGGCGGCGCGAGTAGCGGTGTTCGGCGGGCGCTGGCTGGCAGTGCTGGCGGTGCGGCGGGGCGGAGCGGGCGCTGGGCCGCTGCTGGCGGCGTGCGGCGGCGGGGCCGCGCGCGAGCTCCGGGCGCGGGTGTGGGAGGCGCGGTGGGCGGCGGGCGGGCGGCTGGCGCTGGCGCTGGGCGGCGGGACCGTGGCGCTCTACGAATGGTGGGGTGGCGGGCGCTGGCTGCGGCAGGCGAGCTGTGGCGGGGCCGGGGCGCTGCGCTGCGCCGTGCTGGCGGGGGTGAGCTGGGGGCGGCTGGCGCTGGCGGCCGGCACGGCCACGGGGAACGTGGTGGTTTGGCGGGCGGCGGCGGCCACGGCCCCGCAGCGTCAGCTGTGCGGGCACCGGGGCGCGGTGCTGGCGCTTTACTACGCGGCGTCGCGGGGGCTGCTCGCCTCCGCCTCCGAAGACCGCGGCGTGCGCCTGTGGGCCGTGGGCGAGTTGGGCGGCGGGGACGGGGCCGGCACCTGCCTGCTGGTGTGCTACGGGCACGGGGCGCGAGTGGCCGCCGTGGTGCTGCGGGGGCCGCTCCCGGTCAGCGCTGGGGAGGACGGCGCCTGCCTGGAGTGGAGCGGCGGCGGCACCGTGCGGCGGGCGCGGCGCGGGCACCGCGGGGCCCTGCGCGCCCTGGCCCTGCGCCCCGCCGGCGGCCGCGTGGCCACGGGCGGCGACGACGGCGGCGTCCGGCTCTGGCAGCCCCGGCGGGAGGCTACGGAGGCGGTCCCCGCGGTTGCGGCGCTGGGGGCCCGGGAGCGGCCGCGGGCCGTGCTGCTGGTGGGGCCGCGGCGGGTGCTGGTGCTGGACGAGGCGGGCGGGCTGGAGGCATTCGAAGTGGCTCAGGGTTGCTGGACGCCGGTGCTGCACCCCGCCGCCAGCGGGCCCCGCGCCGTGCTGGCGGCCGCCCCGCTGCACGAATGGGACGAGACGCTCTGCGCCGTGGCCGGCGGCGACGGGCGCCTCCTCCTTTTCGCCTTGAGCTGCCCCGGGGCCGCCACCAAGCTCACGCTGTTCGAGGGGGCCGTGCACGGGCTGAGCTGGGCCCCCAGTCCCGGGCTGCCCCCCGACATCGCTGCTGCTCTTCTGGCCTCTGGTCCCGACGGGGAGATGCTCTGGCTGGACGTCACGCACCGCCCCGGGCAGGCACCTTGGGTGCGGCTCATGGGTCGGTACCTGCTGCCCCCCTGCAAGCAGCGCTGGCACACCTGTGCTACCTTCTTGCCCCAGGAAGGGCTCCTGGTCTGTGGGGACCGGCGGGGCTCCCTCCTCCTCTTCTCTTGCAGCAGTTCCTTGGGGTGGGCTGCAGAAAGCACCAGCATTGTCAATGGTGGCACTGACCCCGTTATTAAGGACTCTAGTAATGAGCTGGAGCCCTCTTGCTCATTGCACAAAGGATCTCTTCCTCTTGAGTCCCCACTGTCAGTGCTCTTTGGACTCCACGGGAAGACAGGAGTTACCTCGGTGACCATCCACAGGGGCTACATTTACAGCACAGGCCGGGATGGTGTCTACCGCCAGCTTCGCCTGTGGGACCAGCAGCTGGAGGTCCTGCAGAAGCACAGGCCCTGCAAAGGGCTGCAATGGATTGAGGAGCTGCACTTCACCTCGGATGGGGACCTGCTTGTGCTGGGCTTTCATGCTGACAACTTTGTGGTGTGGAGCAGCAGGACCGGCGAGAACATCCACTGCATCCCCTGCGGGGGCGGGCACCGCTCCTGGAGCTACTGCAGCAGCCCCTCAGCCGAGGTGTTTGCCTTTATCAAATCTGGGGATGTGATGCTGTACCACCGTGAGGCCGAGCCCTGCGAGCAGCAAGTGCTGCTGGAATCCCTGCACGGGCGGGAGATCACCTGCGTGCGGCGCCTGGGGGCCGTGCAGGTGCCCGGCCGTGCCACCGTTAACGTGTTTGTCACCGGCAGTGAGGACACCACGACCTGTGTCCTGGTGCTCAGTGAGAACTCTCGGGCAGCTGTGCCCCTTGCCCGCCTCAGTGACCACATTTCCAGTGTGAGGACGTTGGCATTCGCCATGGGACCTGGAGATGAGGGCTTTGGTGATGAGGGCTTGTCTGCCCTGCTCTTCTCTGCAGGCGGCCGCGCACAGATCGAGTGCTACCGGCTGCTGTGCACTGGGGACACGGCGGCTCAGAGTGCTGTGGCCTGCCAGGTCATGCATGTGGCCTCCCACCGGCTGGACAAGCACTGGGAGAAGAAGAAGAACAGGCACAAGCTTGTCAAGATGGACCCAGAGACAAGGTGATGATCAGGGACTGCCCAAGGCAGGATTAGTAGTGATCACAGTGTGGGAGGGTGTTGGGAGCTGCACAGGCCTCCACTGGAATACCTGCTCTGTGCAGCTGCAGGTTCAGCTGAGGCAGACAGGGCCAGCGTGGTTTCGTGTGTGATTCCTGGTGTACAGTGCCCTGTGGGCCTCAAGGGGCTTTTGGTGTAAGGGAAAGGCTCAGGGCTGCTCTCCTGGGCCACCCAGCTCCATGGGCCAGAGAGGTGTTGGTGAATGTTGTGTCTTTGCTGCAGGTACATGTCCCTGTCAGTTGTGCCTGGGACGAGCACCAAGCAGCTGCCAACACCCTGGAAATTCCTGGCTGCTGCCTGCAGTGATGGATCAGTCCGGTGAGGAGCCATCATGGGGCCTGACAGGGAGAATGGAGCTGGTGATGGCAGCAGAGCAGGCTCAAAACAGGAGGCTGCTGCCATGGGATGTGGCCTGCTCTGAGCTGGCCATAAGACAGTGCATGGTGGGAAATGGGCCAGAAGCTCCTACACTCCCACAGCCCTCTGCTCCATTACAGGATCTTTGGGCTGCTGGAGGCTGCTCGGAAGTTGGTGCTGGTGGCAGAGTCATTTCACCACCAGCGCTGTGTGCTGAAGGTGGAAGCATTCCTGCACACAGGGGCAGGAGGAGAGAGGTGAGCCCTGAATGCTGGGCTGCCATCGATGGGCTCTGGGTAGAAATGTCAGTCCTCGCAGAGATGGCAGCTCAGCAGGCAGAGAGAAGGGAGAAGTTAATCCCTGGGGGCTGTTCTGCCATTTCCATGGATCTCAGTGGGAACCCCCAGGGCTGCAGCCACAGACTCCCTCTACACTCCCCATTCTAGGAGGCACCTCCTGTGCAGCGCAGCCACTGATGGCAGCATTGCCTTTTGGGACATCACCGGCCCCATCATGGATGCGGCAGACACCCTGCACCAAGCAGAGGGAGAGATGCAGCCCTTGGGTGAGTGCTGCTGCCCAGCAGCTCTTCTGCTCCCTCTAACAAGGTGAGCATTGCTCTCCTGACCCAGCCCGTTTTCCCAGCTCTGGAGGCCCCGCTGGTCACGGTCATGGCGCACAGCTGCGGTGTCAACAGCCTTCACATCCGCCAGACGCCCGAGGGACGGTACCTGGTGGCCAGCGGCAGTGACGATGGCTCCATCCATGTCTGCCTGCTGGAGGTGGCCCTGGGCAGGGCTGAGGCCACGGCAGGGACCTGCCTGCGGGTCCTGGAGCGGGTGTGCAGGCCCTGTGCCCACGCTGCCCATGTGACGGGGATCCGGGTGCTGCGGCCAGACCTGCTGCTCTCTGCCTCGGTGGACCAGCGCCTGACGCTGTGGAACCGCTGCCCAGGCGAGCTGGTGCCCCTCAGCACCACCTTCTTCCACGTGCCTGACCTAGCTGAGCTGGACTGCTGGGAGGTGGAGGAGGCGGGGGGCGAGCTGCGGTACTACTGCGTGCTCTGTGGGCAGGGCCTGGAGATGCTGTGTGGCACAGCCTCCCCAAAACCTCCTCCACAAGAGGCTCCTCAGTAATGGGGCAGGTGTGTGACACATCCAGGTCCCTGCCTGCATTTGGAGGGCACCCTGCATGTGGGCTTTGCCTGTCACTGTGGTCCCTGCCTCCAGCCTGCACACTCATGTGTCTTGTCCTGAGGGGACAGGCATAGCTCCTTCAAGCACATGCCATGGTTGTGGTGCTCAAGGCCAGTGGTCTCTGGGAAGAAGGCAGATGTGATCTCTCCAGACAAGCCTAGGGCCTCCCCATGCAGTAAGGAAGTGGGGCTGTTAGCCCCTCTGCCCAAGAGCAGCTATTCCTCTGCAAGGTGTGAAGGATCAATGTCAGCTTTCCAGTCTTAGTCTCAGAGAGGAACCTTGCTTGGGAGGCACTGAAGATATGGCCCAGTCCTGGGAGCTTGAGAGCAGCAGGAGGCCAGGAAGGGTCAGGGACTGGTGTGACACATGGTGGGCTGCAGTCCTGTGTGTCCACAGACAGCCCTGTGTGACAGTCTTGACCCTGCAGAGCTGAAATCCACAGGGACACTGATCCTCCACAGCAGCACCCTTGTGGCATGGGGGTGGCTGGGCTGCCCACAAATACCACCCCACTCAGGCCAAGTGGGTTTTTCCTGCATAGCAGCAGGATCCAGGACAGTCAGACCAAAGAAAAGAAGGAAGGACAAACAACCCTGAGGTCAGACACATAGAGGAGTTGTCCAGCAACAAGTGTATTGGACCCCAATACTGGGGCCTGGCTCAGAGCCCAACAGGAGCCAAGAGCCTCAGGAGCTCCCTGCCAGCACAGAGCACCTTTCAATAAAGTTTTGAGGGAAGTGAAGTTGGCATTTGTCTTTGTGGTGACTGGTCCCTGCTGCCACCTCCCCAGTACTCCCAGCCCAGCTTCTGGGGTGCCACAGGAGCCCTTTTCCCTTCTGCTGGTGTAGATGTGGAGGGGCACCCATGTCCCACACTGGACAAAGCTGCAGAGAGTACAGACCAATCCCCAAACACCATGGGAAGGGAAATGCCTCCATGGGGCTGAACTGTGCCTTGCCTGCCACTGGAGCAGCCCTTGCCCTGCCAGGACAATGTGCCCTGTTCTCCCCCCCAACAGTGGTGTGTAGGTGACTGTCACACCATGGTCCAGCTCTTCAGGGGTGGCTCAGATCTGGCTGAGAGGAGGGAGGTGCAGGGTTGCCAGGGCACTGTGGAACACATCTCTCACTGCTCCCAGCAGCTGGAGGCGAGCAAACATCTGGTCAAAGAGATGAGGGAATGGCTCCTGCAGGGAGAAAGGCAGCTTGGGACTGCACACCTACAAGTGGACAAACTACCCCTTGACAGGCTGGCCCTGCAGACACTGCTGCCTGTGCTCCCTTGGAGGATGGGACAGGGGGACATCACACTCCTGGCACCATTCCCCACATGGCTGCCCCCCAAGAGCAGTGCAGCCCCAAAAGGACTGCAGGGGCACAAGGCTGAGGCTGGCACACCTAACTCACCCCCAGGATGTGCACCCGGTTGTAGTAGGAGCTGAAATCCATACTGAGCTGGATCAGGAACTTGCACACCTACAAGGCAGAGACATTCTCATGGCACAGTGAAGTCTGGCTGGTCTTGGGCCCTCACCCACCCCAAGCAAAGCAGGAACTGCCCCAGGGGCATGGCCATCTATTCTCTCAGCACTGTCCCTGTGTTGCTCACTGATGGGGAGCACCTGTTGGCCTGAAGCTTTGCCCTGGGCTGGGACTGCTGGAGCAGCATCCATGGATGCTGTGGCACATGGCACTTACTGTCTCTGTGCTGGCAGTGATCCGGATCCCCTTGGAGGGTGGGGGCAGCTGTGCTGCCTGCTGCAGGACTTCAGGGAAGGGCAGGAGATAGTTGAAGAGCAGGAGCCATTCACCCTGTGAAGGGATTACATGTCTAAGTGTCAGATCCTCCTGGGCCATAGCATCCATCACCAGAGCCAAGGGTGCACAGATCCCCCCCATTCCTCATCTCAGCACTCACCTCTTCTCGAAGGCAGGAGAAGTTCAGTTCAGACACTGGTGGCAGAGGTGGATATGTGCCTGGAAAGCAGGGAGACTGTTGTGCCCAAAGAAGCCCCTGTGGCTCCAGCAGTGGCTGTCAGAGGAGGGTGCTGAGGCTGGTGCTCACCCTGCTCCACAGCCCGCTGGAAGGTGCTGAAGAGCGTGGCCAGTCGGGCACAGTTGTACATCACAAAGGCACCACTCTTTGTTCCTTTTGTGGAGATGCTATTGTTCTCCAGGTCCAGGGTGATCTGAAGGCAGGGAGAAGCCACAGTCCAGGCTGCTCAGCACAGATCCACTCCACTCTTCCCACAACCTGCCAGCCCTGGCTCCATGCAAGCCACTGTCCTACCTGACTCCGGTGAGCAGTGCTCAGCATCTCAAACCTGATGGCAGCCACTGTCAGGGTATCAATCACCTCTGTCCAGGCCTCATCTGTGGAGAAGGCAGGTGCCATCGTGGACAGCTTGCTCCATTCCCATGTACTGATATCCCCAGCACCCAGGCAGGACACCCCTGGTTGAGCACCACCACAGCACCAGCCCTGGCTCCCATCAGGAGTTGCTCTGTGCCAGTGCCCTGAATGTTCAGATGCCTTCCCAAAGCGAGGGCAAACACCTGGCTCAGTCCTGGAGGGGAGAAGGAGCACCCTGCAGGTGCAGCCCCCCCTGGCTGTGGACTCATGGGAGCAATGAGGATGGGATGGAGCAGCATCCCCATGGAGCCCTAGCTCTCACCTTGTGCAAGCTCCCCATACTTGATCACAGAGGCCTCATACATCTGGCGCTTCCGGAGCCTGGGACAAACACAGACAGAGCCACCCACTGTGGGCTGAGCTGGCCCACAGGGAGCCTTAGCAGCAGAGAAAGCAGCAGGTGCCTTGCACAGCAACTTACTGGAAGTACTGGTCTGCCCCAATGGGTGATGAGGGGCTGGTCACCTTCACTGGCCCACAGACAAGGTGTTTCTGAAAGACACAGAGGCTGAGGCTGGGAATGGAGTGAAATCCAGCCCTGTTCTAAACCTAGAGCCAAGGATGGATGCTGGGGGCCACACTGAGAAGGGTTAGAGGTTGCTCTTGCTCACCTGCAAAGCTGTGTGGGCTCCCGGATCCAAAATCCTCCAGAGCACATCCAGCTGCTGCTGCTGGAATTCCTCCTCACAGTTCACCACATGCACGATGCTGCAGCAACTACTCTGGCCTTTGGCCTGCAGCAGAGCAATACAGGGTGCTCAATCCCATTGCCTGCCAGAAGGAAGGGACACTTGGGAAGTGAGAGGCAGGCAGTGCTGTGGGGTCACTCACTGGGCACTGCAGAACAGCTTCCTGCAGCTCAGCCAAGGACCGCAGTGTGCTCTCTGTCACTGAAAGAAGGAGGGACACACAGTGGGACATGGTGTTCTCCACCCTCCAGCATCGGGTCTGCCCCAGGATCAAACCAGATTGAAGGAGAACAAGAGGGGCAAGCCACTTGTGTCCACCACCCCACCTTATTTTTGTTAAAAACAGCTTAAAGGAAACAAGCCTATTTGCACCCATTCCACCCCCACCTGAGCTGATGTACATGTGAGGCTCACCGAGAAGCACATCTAGATTGGGGTCATAGCCCAACAAGCCCTGCTGCTCCACGAAGCTCTTCAGGTGCACCTTTGAGAGGACACCCTCGGCTGTACCTGGCCCCTGCTCACAGGTTGTGGCACAGGGGCACCGGCCCAGCGCTGCCTTCAAGGCCGAGATGGCATCAGTGAGGGCCGAGCCACCGGAGCCGGAGGGCCAGCAGATGCGGAGCTGCCGCAGGACGTCCCAGCTCCTCTCCTCGCTGAGGGCAGGGACCAGTCGCACGTCGACCCTGCGAGAGAGGGCGAGGCAGGCGCTGGGAGCGGCGGGCGCTGCGGCGGGGGCCGGGAGCAGGACTGGCCGGAGGCACTCACCCCTGAGCGCGCAGCAGCTGGGCCAGGTGGTCGGCCAGCAGGACGGAGCGGAGGTGGCGGGGCCGCAGGGCAGCGGGGCTGCTGCGTAGGGCCGGGCAGTGCAGCACCACGCAGCCCGTGCGCGGCCCCGCCGCGGGGGCAGGCGGGCCGGGCAGAGGCCCCAGCAGGCGCTGGAAGGCCTCGGGGCGGTGCACCTGCACCGCCAGCCCCGCCGGCGTCTGCCGGCAGATCCGCAGCGGCAGCACCGCCGGGCCCCGCAGCGACGGCACCGCTGACACGGCCTCGGGGGGCACCTGCGGGCGGAGGGCGAGGAGCGGTCCGGGCTGCATGGGCACAGGACGGCCCCAGCCCAGGCCCCATCAAACCGCTCCCGCAAATCTCGCTCCCGACCCAGCCCTGCCCACGCCGCCACGGCCTACCTGCCCTCCGGGAAAGGCGGCGCTCAGCGCGGCCCGCGGCGCCAGGAAATCCCGGTAGCGCAGGTTGCGGGCGCCGCTCTCCTTCACCCAGAGCGCGGCGGGCCGCCCCAGGGCCCCGTTCAGCGCCCGCAGCGTGGCCGCCACCCCCGGGCGGCCCTCGCCCATCTCCTCGCCCATCGCGCGCTTCCGTAACCGCGGCCGGAAATGATGTCACGCCTCTCCCAGAAGGCCGCCATGTTACGTGCGGCGCTCCCGGGCGGCCATCTTGGTGACGGGCGCGTTGGCCGGGCAGGGCGGCCATCTTGGGGGGACGGGTGCGGAGCCGCCATGGTGGGTGTGGCGGGCAGCGGGCGCCGCCATGATGAGTGTGTCAGGTCAGGACCACAGAGCTGCAAGCAGGCACCCCGAATGGCCCGAAAGGGTGTCAGTCCCGCTCAGCCTCACCCCAGCGGGACCATGGTGTCACCCTGAGCTGTGTAGGAGTGGTGTCCTCTCTTCTCCAAAACCGGGGAGCCCAGACCTAAAACCCTCAGGAACTGAGCAGGATCAGAGAGGCCCGGGCAGAAAGGGCTGCCTGGGGCAGGGAGTGCAGCACAGCCGTGGGCATGGCCCAGCCCAGAGCACAGCCTGGTGGTCCCTGGGCTGCCGGGGACAACAAGGGGCCCTGGGAGCAGGTCCAGCAGCCTGAACTGTGGTGGGAAGGGAGGTTTGGATGGGCTGGAGTGTGTGAGACCAGCTGTGGGCATGGTGTCACTGGCAGGCCCTGGCTGGGCAGTCCAGCCTGTCCACCATGAGCCCCAGGGCTTGGCTGGACTCTGACACGATGGCTGAGGAACGTGAGCAGCACCCACGTGCCTGCAGCATAGCCTCTGCGTGGCACAGCAATGAGCAGCTGTGCATGCACGCCCTGCCATGTTCTCCAGGCCCGCCCTAGAGGGCTGCTCTCCTGTCCAGCACATGAGCACTGTCCCCCTTATCAGCCCCAGGAAGGAAGTGGAAGCGATTAGATCGTGGTCTTGATTACATCTGCAGAGCTGAGCTGCTCCACAGCAATGGTTGAAACACAGATCTGACAGAGAGCTCACACTGCTGGCAGCCCCATGACAAGTGTGCCAGTGGCTGCTGAACTGGCGACAGGCCAAGGGCCCAGCACAGCCCCAGCCCCATGGCACCAAACCTGACTGACAGGAGGAGGAAGCGCCAAACCCCACCACAGCACAGAGTTAGGGACCTCCCTTTCTGCTATGCCCTTCCTGCCCTCCCCGTTAGGCAGGTGGGGGCTGCGGGGAAAGGAAAGAGCTCTGCCCGCAGGGCCCAAACCGGTTCCTCCAGGGCTTGTGTGCGTGGGGGAAAGAGGGGGGAGCAGGGTGAGGGCAGATCCTGCTGCATGGGCTCTTCCAGGAATGCAACAACTGCCTTTGGGGCTCTTCAGGCAGCTCTGGAGCCCCAGGGCTGCAGCCCACAGCCAGTGAGAATCTGCAGCCCCAGGGCAGGAGTGAGAACACGTCCATGCCATGGTGGGGTGCTCCCTGCGCCACCCACAGCCAAGAGGTGATCTGAGAATCGCTGCTCACACCAGACCAACTGCTGACTGTCCGCAGTGCAGGAGCTGCTCAGGACCCCTGCCCGGCCAGGGGGACTTGCTGGACCTTGTGTCACCACTCAAGACGGGTCTAGGCTGGATCCGTCCACATCCTCGGAGCGTCCCGCAGGCCGCCCACGTGGGCCCCGGCAGCGCAGTGGCCCGGGGAGGGCTCTCGGAGGCGCCGAAAGAGCTTTGGAAAGACACGACATCCCCGATGGCTCTCTGGCTGCTGGCTCAGCGGGAGTGATCGTGTCATTCCAAAGCCATCTCTCTCCAAGGGCTGGATCCTGCCCAGCCCTGCAGGCACTGGGGTGCTGCGAGGGCCAGGGAGAGCCGGCATGGGCAGGAACTTTGGCAGTGTCACAGCCTGCACCGCCGTGGTTCAGGGGACCACATCCACGCTGTGGCAAAGCAGCCATGCTCCCCATACTCTCCCAGGAAGCCAGCTGCTATTTTTAGCTGTTGGGGGCACAAGAAACAGAAGCGCCCCCCAGCCCGGTGCAGGGGCTGAGCCACGAGGCTGGGCACCGGCGATCCCCCATCCTGACACCACCCTTCTTCCAGCGTGGCCCCAGGCGCTGCCCCAGCCCCGGCAGGGGCTGCAGTGGGACACGCGGCTCTTGCCCAGCACGGGGAGGTGGGCAGGGGTGGGGTGGGGGGGGTGTGCGGCGAGGCGGTGGCGGGAGCGCGGGTAACGAAACCCCAGGGCAGCTGGGCACAGTGGGAACAGCTGCTTTTGGGATTCCGTTGCCCGCGCTGGCGCCGCGGAGGGATGGGCACCGGCACCACGGCCATGCCACCCCAACCCTGGGGCAGTCGGTGGGCCAGGAGGGGAGAGGGCGACTTACCGGCGGGGAGCGGGGCGGAGGAGGTGAGTGGGAGCCACCGCCGGGCCGTTGTGATCGGGGGTGCCGACAGAGACCGGGGTTGTGCTGCCGGCTCCCCCCGCGCCGCGGGCCGGGTGCCAAGGGGAGGGCGGCACGGCCGAGCCAAAAGGAAACGGCTCCGAACAAAGCCCCGGTGGGGCTGGAGCAACTGGTGCCAGCCCATCAGCCCCCGACGGGGCCCGGAAACACGAGCCGTCCCCGAGGGAGGGCACCTGCCCCGGCACCTGCGCCTAGAGGCGGCACGGCCCGGCCCCGCCGCTGCCAGCGCCTCCGGCCCCCGCCCCGGCGAGGAGCCCTCGGCAACGCCACGGGGGGAATTCAAACCGCGCGGGGAACCCCACCGGCCCCGTGCGGAGCTCCCGCGGTGCTGCCCGGGGATCCCTGGGACCCTGCGCTGGCCAAGGCTGCCGGCTGTGGGAATTCCTGATGCCTCCGGCACGGCACGGTGGCGGGAAATGCTCCGCCGCCACTTCCAGGGAGCTTCCCGGTGGCCCCCGCAATGTCAGGCTACGGCTGGCCCCGGGGGGGGTGACACAGGTGGGGACGTGGGTCCCCTGTCCCAGGGCACCTCTGAGCCCGCAGTGCCACCGGCCGCACCGAGCGCGGCAGGAGGAGGATGAGGGTGCAGCGGGAGGTGCCGGCGGCGGCGGCTCCGGGCGTTCAGCCCCGACTGGCAACAGCCGCCCGCAGCGGGGCACACGGGGGCCCAGGGCGCCGTGCCGAGCCTGGGGCAGCCCAGGGGCACCGGCGGGGCCGGGCCAGGAGCGCAGCCAAGACCCGGGCCCGCTCCCTCCCGCCCGGGGAGCCGCCCGCTCCCCTCTCACCTCCGGCCCCGCAGCCTTCGGCACAGCAGCCCCTCCCGGCGGCGGGGTCGGGGAGGCTCCAGCGGGACACCCCGCTCCCGCCGTGCCGCTCCCGCCCCGCCACCGGCCGCTTTCGGTTTCGCTCCGGCGCCCACCTGGGCTCTGCAGGTCGGGGCGCGCCCGGGCCCGGAGGCAGCGGGTGTGTGAGTGTCGCCGCCCTCCCGTCCCTCAGGACCCCGGGCGGGGGGACCCCGAGGGCTCCCTGGGAGCCCCACTCCGATCCCGCTCCCCCAGTGGCGCTGTCCCGGCCCCGGCCGCCAGTGGGCGGTAGCGGCGGGGGCGGGGCCGCCCGGTGGTTCCGGCGGGGTCGCGGCCATGGCGGCGCTGCGGCGGCTCGTGCCGGCGGTGGGGCGGGCGGCGGGCAGGTACCGGCACCGGCAACCGGCACCGCCGCTGCCCTGCGACCGGGGGAGGTGCCTGTGGGATGCCGTAGGGTGTCCGGGAGGTGTCCGTGGGTCCCCCGTGTCCCAGCTGCTCACTCTCCCCGCAGAGCGCCGTACCGGGGTCACCGGCTCACTCCGGCGGATGATGAGATGTACCAGCGGACGCGGGTGATGGTGCTGCAGCCGGAGTCCCCCAACATCATGTTCATCGAGGGCTACAGCACCCGCGGCTTCACCATCAGCGGAGACCTGGTGGTGGGGCCCTGCGCCGTCCTGCCCCGCAGCATCCTCCAGTGGAACGTGAGTGCCCGGCGGCGGGGCCGGGGCTGCCGGGCGCCACCGCGCGCCGGGGCAGCTCCCCTCAACGCCCGCCGTGTCCCCGCAGGTTGGCTCCCATCGCGACATCTCTATCGAGAGTCTGTCGCTGTTCCGGCTGCTGGAGCCCCAGATAGGTACGCGGGGCAGGAGAGGCGCGGGCTGCCCCTCTTCGGGCTCCTGTCGGGGTGGCTGTGCGGGAGCCATTGGTGCCTGCAGGAAGGGCAGCTCTGGGCCGAGGCAGCTCGAATGCTGCCCTGCTCACCCTTGTCTTGCCCTGGTTGCAGAGATCCTGGTGCTGGGCACGGGGGACAGGGTGGAGCGGCTGCACCCTGCCATGATGAAGCAGATGCGGGAGTGCGGGATTGCTGTGGAGGTGCAGGACACGGTAAGGGTGGGCACAGGCAGCACCCCATTGAAAGGGGGGAGGGAGGGAGGGGGTCATGTGCCATGTGGGGAAGGGCCGAGTCTCCTTTCTGAGGGCCGGAGCTTCGCTCACTCCCGTTTCTATTCACAGGCGAATGCATGTGCAACCTTCAACTTCCTCATGAATGAAAGGCGCGTGGTGGCTGCTGGGCTCATCCCCCCGCGGGGCACCTAAGGCGTGTAGGCACTGCCTGCCATGCCCATGGGCTGAGTGGTTCCTCCCCTGCCCGCCTGAAGCCCGCGAGGGTCACTGCTCCATAGTGAACTGTGGAGCTGTCGGCTCAGTGATGACTCTGCCACAGGAGGGATGTGAAATACACGGGCTTAGCTCCTCCCTGCAGTCTCTGGCTTCTTGGCCTCCCTGCCAAATCTGGGCTGGAGACTGTGGGGCACAGCACAAGGCTTTGCTGGTGGCACTGCTTCCACAGCCCTGCCAAGGTCATGCCCCACACCTTGGCAGCAAGAAGTCTCACCTGAGGGAGGGTAAAGGCTGGTGGGGTGAGCTGTACATCCCCAGGCACACCTGGAGCTCCACGAGGAAAATAAAAGCAGGAAGTACAAGAAATTGTGTGGTGGTTAATGCACAACGCATTGAGGCTGTAACAAATTGAGGGGGCATGTGCTCACCTTGGGCACTAGGCAGCACATATGGTGGTGGGATGCCATGTGCCAGCAGCTTCCTGACCACAGCACAAGCAACTTGTGTGTCCCAGGTGGTGCTGCATCCTCTTTCATTGAGGGCTCAAGCTCCAGCAGGGGACTTGGAAAGGGTCCCTGTCCTGAACTGGATGTTCATAGTTGGGGATGTCACCTCTGGGGAAGAGGGTACATGTACCTAATGGAAGCCTCATGCCCTGAACTCTGCCACCTTGCCAGGCAAAGGCAGGGGATGCAGCTGCAAGTTTTGGGTGGCTTTGCTTAGCAAATGTCTCACAGGTAAACCTGCCAAGCCAGGGAAGGTTGCACTGCTCAGGCCTGCAGAAATGCAGACCAGCTCCTTTATAAACTTGTGCCCCTCCCAGTGCATTGCCCACCTTCCAGCAAACAACTGCTCTGTTGGAGCCTGGGCAGGTACTCCACAGTGAACAGCCCAAGGGGGTGCAGCCACTGAGCCTGGAGGTGTGGCAGCTACAAGAGGTTTAGGGGAAGAATGAAGCAGCTGCACCAGGAATGGGGGGCTGCAGCATCCTGGCTGCTGCCACAGCTGGCTTTGGCAGCTGCCAGCAGGAGATAATGGCCACGTTAAACTGTTTACTTTCTTGCCCAGCAGTCCAGCCCTTGTTTTCTGCTCTCAGGAAGGATTTGTAAAGGAACTACACTGTGTTACCCACTCAGCCCTGTCTCAGGGCTCTCCCTTCCCTGCTGCCCTTCACATGCACACAGTCCCTTCTGGGGTTATCAGCTGCCTCTGACAGTGTGGGAAGCAAGGGACAGAGCCAAGGACAGAGAGCAAGGGAGGTAAAGAAGGAAGAGGGGCTCTGGGCTGACACCAGCTGCACATCTTTTCATTTTTTTATTGTAAAACATGGCCAACACGTGCAAGGCTCCAGCCCAGGCTCAGCTCCTGGGTGGAAGGCGGGCCCCGCGGGTGGTCAGAAAGCAGCCAAGGGACAGCAGGAGCTCCAGGCAGCCCAGAATAATGGCACTTCTGCAGCAAGAGCAGCTCCCACGCAGAGCAGCGCGGGGCTGGGTGGCACAGGGACAGACACAGATCTCTCTCAGAAGAGGCGTTTCTCATACCTGTGAGAGAGCAGCACCGGGGAGCCCCTTTATGACCCACCTCACTCAGGGCAGGGACCAAGGTGCAGTATGGAACAGATCCTCCCAGCCCAGGGAGGGGAACAGCCTCAGCACCCTGACAGGCCAGGGCTTGGCCCAGCTGTGGTGCCAGGGCAAGCCAATGAATGGCACACCAAGCCAAGGGCATGGCAGCTGAGGTACAGGGTGGCTGTTCCTCACCCCCAACAGCCCCCAGGGTGACAAGGATCCTGCCAGAAGCACTTACGAGTGGAGGCCGTGCACCCCTCCTTCAACCTGGGCAGATGTTGTCCTCTTCTCAAATTTCAGCTCTCCCGAGTACATCATGGCTCTGAGGGGGAAGAACACCTGTCACAAGCCAGGCAGAGTCCAGGGAAGACAGTGCTCTGGCACATGCTGAGCTGGAACATCTGGGATGAGGGTCACTGGTTCCTCCAGCTGTGGCCAGAATGGTGTTTGCTGTGCTCCCAAGAACCAGATTGGGTAATGTAATCCCAACATTTGAGCCCAGCCAGCTGAATATGCCACAACAGACCATACTCCTGTGTCCCTGGGCTGGCAGATCCATTATGCACTGCCCACTGGAGATGAGGGAAGAGAGCCACAAATTATCCAGAACATACCACAGCTTGAGTACAGCTACACAGGGACTCCAGACTGCAGCACCATGACCCAACCAGAGCACAGGCAGGGGGGAAGCACTCACCGGACTTGGGTCAGGCTCTTGGCACCAATATCCTGGCAGGAATGCTGGATCCCAGCAATTAGGTATGGAATGAATTTATGGATAGAGCCTTTGTCTTGCACTGCACCGGAAACCCCCTGGGCCACTTTAATTTTGTCTGTCTCACTGCATGAAAGCACAAATCAAGAATATTTGTGAAGCACAGAAACCCCAAAAGCTTGATCTGCTGCCCCAAAGCACCATCTCTGACCTGAAATACCGATTCTGGCTGCCCAAGTTCTTGTCCATGGCATCTAGGGAGCCCATGCCGCGGTATTTCTTCAGCCTGATGCCATCCGAGAAGAAGTACTCGCCTGGGGCCTCCGTGGTGGCAGCCAGAAGAGAGCCCATCATCACTGGACAAGATATCACCAGGAACAGCACATCAGTGGCAGTGGCTGCAAAACCCCTCAGGGTTCCTGGGCACAGTACTGGCTGCAGCCCTGTGCCCCCAGCCACCTGCAGGTAAAGGCCCTCATGCCCAGTGTGATGCCATATGGAAACACCTCCTGGGAGATTGCCCACAGTGGAGCTCACCTGTGGAGGCCCCCAGTGCCAGGGCCTTGGCGATGTGCCCAACCGTCTGGATGCCTCCGTCGGCGATGACGGGGACGCCGAACCTGCGCGCGTACTCGGACACCTTGTACACCGCCGTGGCCTGGGGACGGCCGCACGCCAGCACTGCAGGGACAGACACACAGCTCAGCCCCAGCCTGCAGCACGGCCCCGTCCCAGCAGGCTCGCTCAGGCTCCCAGCACACACATGCTCCAGCACTCAGAACGCACAAATCCCTGGGTGCTCCTTCCCTAGGCTGAGTCCAAGAGAAGCAGATGCCCGGGAGGTGCCTGCTGAGACGTCCTCACAGCCCTTGGCTCCAAAAAGCTGGGAGTGACCTCAGGACTGGGGGCTTTGGTTGGATGCCTGGGATCAGACAAGACTCGTGGTTCAATCCTTGTGCAGAGCAGACATGTGGGGAGCTTGGGAAGGAAATAAAGCAAACTCCAAAAGCCCCTCTCCAAAGCATCCCTGGCATGTAGCCATGTCCCACTGCTGGCTCTCTCCTGGAGCTGCCAGACCCCTTGTCCATGTACCCAGCATCTGTAAGATGTGCCTCTTGAATGGAAAGGCAGTTGGCTGGGAGAGAGCTCATATGCCTGTATATGCTATAGATATAAATATATCTATGCATACAGGTCTGCATATACACACAAACACACATGCAGCAGTGGAAAAGGAAAGAGGCAGAATGGTTTGGTAATAATTTATCTTCCTGCCTTGCAATGTAGCAAGGGTTCTATCAAGTTTAGCTGCCCCATGAGGAGAGAGTTATTAGCTTTGGATTTACTTGTTCTTCCCAGTCAGTAGCAGTTAAGCTTCCCATTATGTGAGGAAAACCAGCACAAGGCATGTCTTGTAACATGTTTGTCAGCCACAGGCATGCAAGAACACTGAGATAAGCTTCTCTCAGGGAGACGTCCCTTCCCCACCATCAACTGGAAGCCTTTTCTTCAGTCATGGTTAGTCCCATAAACTGGGAAAGATTAAGGCCATTCAGTATTAGTACTTTGGAGTGTGAAATCCAGGTGTGGTTCAGCCTGCACGCGGCAGTGCTGGCAGCATGTCCCTGGCAGAAGCCTGCAGAGGCCAGGAGGCTACAGTTTCTCTACTCCCAGCACTCAGCAGCAGCTGCTGAGGAGGGCAGCCAGACTGCAGACTGAGATTGTGACAGAACTAAATTTAATCAGACCCCAGCGTTCAGCTCAGGCTCAGCCAGCCAGGGAGAGGCTGCCAGCTTCATCATCAATGCCCTTAAAGAGATGGTCTTGCAGTTCTGCACTGCTGAAGGCCACAGTGCAGCTGCAAAATGCTGCTGTGGAGAGAAACACCCATTTCTGAAGGGTTTTGAGTCCAGGGTCTATGGGAGTGTGCCATAGACAGTGCAGGGCCTGCAGAAACCTCTCAAGCACAGAGACCAGCCCTTTTAAGGCACAGCTGGGCTCAGGGCCCCTGGGAGCATCCGAGTGTCCCAGTGCCCAGTGCCACAGCCCCGCAGCGCAGGCGTCCCAAGCAGGGTTCTGAGCACACACACACATCACACGGTCAGGGAAGGGTTTGTCCCTTTCAGTGCATTGGCAAAGGGTGGCCCTACAAAATCATCTGCTAGAGAAAACCTTCCAGGATCTGCAAGAGTAAACCTCTCCCTTTGGGGTGTGTCAGAACTAGGGGAAAGGACAAAGCCTAAGGCTTGCCTTGCAGGGGCTGCTTGGTCAGAGCATCAGAGCAGAGAACACTGCACCCTGTGCTGGGCAGGCAAAAGCTCCTCTCCACAGGACTTGGTGGGGAAAAGATGGAACACAGCTGCCAAGGTGGCCATGTGCAGTGAATTCCCTCTCTAACTCAGGGGAGCCAGCTCCATGGGAAGGGAGCACAACTTGCCCAGAACTAGGGCTACATTTTGAGCACGATCAAGAACTGCTCAGGGATCACCTCCCAGCACTGGATCAGCAGGAGCATGCCTGGCTAGGGATCCAAAAGGTGCAGTCAGGCTCCTAACTGGAATTTGGAGTGGAGAGAGGACAGGCCTGAGTTCCTTCAGCTTGGACGGTTCAGATTCTGCTTTATGAAATTAGAGAGGTTTCTCAGATTTAATTTTAGATTCAAAACCAGTATCCAAAGCCACAAAACCCCAAGTGCATCTACAGCTAAATTATTCTCAAACAAGCAGTAGGGCCATGTGCAGCCAAATCAGGGTCCTGCTTCAAGACACATAATTAGGGTTGGGAACAGGGCAAGTGACTTACTATAGGTGCCCGTGACAGTAGAAGGGCATTTGGGGCTGTGGGACTTTAGGTCTGGAGGGATCTTTGGAGCAGCTAAACAAAAACAAACACACACATTTTAGAGACAGAAGAACAGCAGCAGAACAAAGGACCCCAGAAATGACCTGCTACTGGGCAGAGCATACGGTGTGGGACAGAGCTGACTTTGCAGACCCTTCCTAGCCTGAGCCAAGCCAGAGGCCAGTCCAAGGCAGCCAGGCCTGGCTGTGCACAGCGCATGCTCGCCCTACCCCAGCAGCCAC